GCCCCCCCCCGCCCCGGTGGCTCCAGCCCCGCCACGGCCCTTTAAAATGTGCAAGAGAGACTGCTCCCTGTCGACTGCCTGGCTCGCTGCGCCCGCCCCGCGCCCCTTTGTCTCTGAGCCACCCGTTCCCTACGCTGCCTACTCCCCTGCACCCTAGGTCCCCTGCTCTCCCTCTTCCCTGCAACTCTGGCTCTGCATTGCCCTTGCACCTCACACCCTGCTCCCCCCCGATCCCTCCCCACCCAGCTCTGTGCTGCCCATTCCCTGCATGAGCCACCCGTTCCCTACGCTGCCTACTCCCCTGCACCCTAGGTCCCCTGCTCTCCCTCTTCCCTGCAACTCTGGCTCTGCATTGCCCTTGCACCTCACACCCTGCTCCCCCCCGATCCCTCCCCACCCAGCTCTGTGCTGCCCATTCCCTGCACTGCCCCTAGACCCTGATCCCTCTGTCCCTCCTGTTCTCTGCGTCCCAATCCCCGTGCCTCCACCGCATCCTGCACTCTGCTCTCCCCGATCCGTGTCCCTCTGATTCTGTGCGTCCTGTTCCCCGCGCCACCCCTGTACCTCCCCACTGTTCCCTGCACCCCTCTGTGTCTGTGCTGTCCCTGTACCCTGCTCCCTCTGTGGGTTGGGAGTGAGGGGTGCTTGTCCATAGGGAGGGGCTGGACAGGGCAGGGAAAAGGCTGCTGTCACCCAGCAGGGAGCGAAAGGGGGAGTTCACTTGAAGTGCCTTTGCCTTTATGCAAAAAAAGGGCAGACACCTGCAGGGGAGGGATCAGCACCAGAGGAGAGAGGCAGGGCAGATGTGTAGAGGGAGGTTAGGAGAGGGGATGAGGAGGGGTAGCTCACATGATCAGAGTGGGGCTACTGGAGGAGTGGGCACAGGGGAGAGAAGGGCTGGTGGAGGGAGGCAGATCTCAGGAAGGCTGAAGACAAAGAGAAGGGCAGGAGTCAGGACAGCAGAGGAGGGTGAGGGGCTTGGGGGAAGCAGGCACCAGGGGAGCTGATGGAGCAACGGGAGGAGACATGGCAGCAGAGGGAAAAGGTAGAGGTTTATAAAATATTTAACAACAACTTGGGTGATATTTATTAATAACTTATTAGTAATTACTGTTCTTAGTCTTATTAGGAATTTATGCCATAAAAAAAAAAAACACTTTTTGGGG